CCAACTCCACCACGGCCACGCTGCTGGTGCCGTCGGACGGCGTGTTCACCATCAGCTCCACCATCTTCGCCGGGCCGTGCAAGTCCGCTCTGACCTTCCAAGTAAGTTTGGTGAGCTGGCTCTTCAAAATCATTGACCCAAGCCAAGGCCCAATTTTCACACTGCCGTGACTGTGAACCAGATCGACGGCGTGCTGATGCTGCCAGACGGGCCGTCGAGCTGGCCGGCGTCCGACAGCCGGAAACAGTGGATCGTCTTCTACAAGGCCGACGGCATGACGCTGGCGGGGGAAGGCACCATCGAAGGCAACGGGGAGGAGTGGTGGGACCTCCCGTGCAAGCCTCACCGGGTACGTACGTGGCTCGCTTCTCTCCTGCGGGGTCACCTTGTCACCGGCGTTTGCCTGGACCAAACATGTGTGACGTTCATGTCTATGTTAGCGGTTCAGGGCCCCAAAGGATCAACGCTGCCCGGGCCATGCAACAGCCCTGCAGTAAGCTCGCCGACCACATGGATTTCACTCTGCTCTTTGTCCATGTCCTTGGCCTCACTCTGTTCGTGGTATCTGCAGCTGGTACGATTCTTCTTGAGCAACGACGTGACGGTGCGCGGCCTGCGAATCGAGAACAGTCCGCAGTTCCACCTCAAGTTCGACGACTGCGAGCGGGTGCGTGTCCACGGCCTCTTCGTCAGCTCGCCGGCGTTCAGCCCCAACACGGACGGCGTCCACGTCGAGAACACCACATCTGTCCAGATCCTCAACTCCAGGATCTACAACGGTATGCTGAAGCACTGAGTGGCCGCACATCGGCAAGTTTCAATTCATCGACCTCTGAACTCGATCTGTCACTGCATGCAGGCGACGACTGTGTCTCCATCGGCGCCGGCTGCTCCGACGTCCACATCGAGAACATAACATGCGGCCACGGCCATGGCATAAGGTAAACTTGCCAGCGTGCATCTGTGCCGGTGATGTTTCTAGTGTGTCAGCTGACGCGGCGAGCTCGTGATGGCGTCCACGCAGCATCAGCAGCCTGGGCGTGCACAACACGCACGCCTGCGTGTCCAACATCACGGACCGGAACGCGCGGATACTCGACTCCGACAACGGCGTCCGGATCAAGACCTGGCAGGGCGGCACAGGCGCGGTGTCGGCGGTGGAGTTCGCCGGCGTGCAGATGCAGAACGTGAAGAACTGCATCGTCATCGACCAGTACTGCCGCCTCGGCCGCGGGTGCGCCAACCAGACCTCCGCGGTGCGCGTCGCCGGCGTCACGTACCGGGACATCCGCGGCACGTACAACCCGCAGGCCGGCGCGCCCATCCGCCTCGCGTGCAGCGACGCCGTCGCCTGCACGGACATCACCATGTCGGACGCCGTCGCGTGCAGCGACGCCGCTTGTAATCAAGAAAGAGTAGATAGTAAACATCATTATTATGATCGTTTTATTCTGTCTTCGCTTAGAAAAGGTCAAGCGGATACTATCGGTATTTTGCCTTTCATGATATCAAACATGTTTGTCTTAACAGAAGCAGCAAAACCAATGACCGAGAAATGCTTATATTATCAGGTTTTAGCTTGTTAGATATTTACGCACAATTTAATCCAAGAAATTAACAAAAGATTTGAAACATCATACATGTGCTTGTGTGACCTACTCGCAGTTGCAATGATGATGACAAATATACTAAAACATAGGAACACAAACAGTAACATGAATGGGTGAATAGGTAGATTGGTTGCTGGGTTGCCTTAATAATTTTTTTGTTTGGTTCAAGAATGGGTGACAATGCAAATTGGGGTGATGCTTTTTTACGGCATTTGATTGATGCTTGCAAAGAAGAGATAGAAGCTAGGAATAGGCCGATGGGAATTTTTACTGTTACCTGGTGAAAGAATGTTGTATCCAAGTTTGCATAAAAATCCGGTGACAAGCGGGAAAAAAAACAATTGAAGAACAAGTTAGATGTTTTGAAAAAGGAATATTCAATGTTTATGGAGTTCAAGAACTATGCCACTGGGCTTGGATGGGATGAGGCAAAACAACTGTTGACTGCTCTCGAGAATGGTGGGATGAACACCTGTAAGAACTATATTGTCATTATAAATATATTTTTTCCCATTCTTTGTTATGGTGTGCCTTGCTAATTTTTTTTATTTAATTTCAGAGATGCACAATCATGACATATCACTTTGATTGATGAAAAACTTAGAAAATAAATTTTTTTCCTTTCAAAAATGGTCATTTACATGCGAATTAGTAAACATATTAGTTTCTTACAAGCAATTTGTATATAAACAGTACCCCTAACAAGATGGCCTTCTGCTTTTTCCACGGCTCATAGATCACATGAGCTTTTTCAAAATCACAGCTCTGTCCTAGCACGCTTTTTCTCTGCCCGGAGACTAGTTTTGGCTCTCCTTAGGTAGCTTTTCACTTACTTTGCCCGGAGACTAGTTCTGGCTCTCCTCAGCTTGCAAGGTGAGGCTAGGTTGAGCAAGCGAGGCTAGTCAATCCTAGCCCAGCAACCAAACGTCCCTGAAGTTTCTTGCTTCCATGGCCATCACGTGCCACGCCGAGCTTCGCGCCGCCCTGGCCCTGCCATTGGTTGTCACCGCCATCTCCATGGCCATCACCACCACCTCGGCCACCGAGCTCCGCGGGCGCTATGGCCCCACCCTCAGCCGCCACCGACACCTCCACGGCCTACTTCATGGTCGCCATACTGTTGTCTCCGTCGTTGTGCCGGAGTGGGAAGTTGGAGGTCTGCCTCCGCCTTCGAATCGACATGTCAGCAGCAACAAGCAGGTGCAAAATCTATGTTTTGATTCACCAAGAGTCCACTCTAAGAGCAACGAGCATCAGCAGTGGTGGGTCGATTCATTGCAGAAGGAGAGTGCCACGGCAAAAAGTAGCGTGGGACCCACATTTATAAAATTAGAAAAATTGGACGAAAGCTCATCCAGACTCTGTTTTGTAGCTCTGGGATTTATTTAGATGTCATCCAAATTTAGCTCTCCATCACATCAATTTTTAGCCATTGCATGGAGTATTAAATGTAGGTAAAAAAAATAACTAATTACATAGGGTTGGAAATCACGAGATGAATCTTTAGGTTCCGATTAGTTATCGGGTTAAAATTTTTTACAAAGAGAACGAGGCCCTAGTAAAAGATTGCTTTCTTTCGATGAAGGCAGAGCACTCGGCATCATTGGAAGTCAGGGCGAAGCTCCTCGGCCTCTCGTGCACCGTCTCACCTCACGCACAAGCACAAAACGACCTTCCAAGTACAGTACAGGAGGGAGCGTCTGGTTCATTGCAGCCCTCGCTCACGGACTCACGGGCAGTCTTGGGTGGCGCTACGCCTCTGCTCCCGTGCTCCGCCTCCACGAATCCGTGGCGAGCCTGCTAGCTGCGTGGCTTTCCTGCCCGGACCAGACCAGCCCCCTAGAAGCGGAGCGGAGAGGCCCCAGTGCAACCGGAGCCGCGACTCGGGAGACCGGTGGTGGCAGTGCAGCTGTGGGCAACGGCCAACGGCACGGCAGGTACAACGTATACCTCTTGTGTTGTGTCTTGTTCAGCTGGTCCCTAGTCGTTCGTGGTGTAGGATGTCGTCGGCATGTCGCTCGCAATTTAGTGAACAAAATAGATTCAGTATTTGCGTATCTGAATTCTGACGGTAAATGATTCATAATTGCTGCAATGTAGTGTACGTAGCCTTCTTTGGTTGTTCCATTGCAGTACCAGTACTTAGTCTCGTTGTCGTGTTCAAAACCAAAGTTCGGTACTTACCAGCAATTCTGTAGACGGGGCGAATCCACACTAACATATATACTTCTAAATTATATATATATATATATATAATTCTACATACACAGACATAGCGATTCCCATTGCTTTCATGACTGGAGCATTGCCACCTGCACAGCTCCTCCGCCACTTGTCGTCGATGAGGCCGCCGCAGGAGACAAGCACGCGGCCGCAGCTGCGTCGTCGTCGTCCTCGTCCAGTGCCATTGGTGACGGTGGCCGTGTCCGTAGCGCTCATCTCGCTACTGTGCCTCCCTGTCGCCGCGGATGCAAGCAGAGCGCTGCACTACAGCCGGGACGAGCACCGGAGGCAGCACCACCGTGCGAGGGAGAACAAGAAGAACCACGTCTCGCTCCCTCCGGACGTCGACGGCGATTCCCCGCCCGAGGCGCCGGGTTTGCCTCCGGAAGCTGGCAATGTGCCGCCGCCGCCGCCGCTCCCACCGCCTGCCGAGGACGACGACTGCGGCGGCGACGTGTTCGACGTGAGGGCGTTCGGCGCGTCGGGCAGCGACGGCGGCTCGTGCAGCGACGACACGCCCGCGTTCCGCGCGGCGTGGAAGGCGGCGTGCTCCTCCGACTCCGCCACGGCCACGCTGCTGGTGCCGTCGGACGCGTGTTCACCATCGGCTCCACCATCTTCTCCGGGCCGTGCAAGCCCGAGCTCACCTTCCAAGTAAGCTTCGAGCTGCATTGCCTTTGCCGCCTCGCAAAATTAATCATCGACCCAAGCCAGCAAGGCCCAATTTTCACGCTGCCGTGACTGTGAACCAGATCGAAGGCGTGCTGATGCCGCCGGACGGGCGGCGACCGACAGCCGGAAACAGTGGATCGTCTTCTACAAGGCCGACCGCCTGACGCTGGCGGGGGAAGGCACCATCGAAGGCAACGGTGAGGAGTGGTGGGATCTCCCGTGCAAACCTCACAGGGTACTCCTACTCTTCTCTTCCGCGGTGCATTAGTCAGTCAGTCCTCTCCTCCTCGTGCCATGCCATTACCGAAATCAATGTGCTACCGGAGTTGAGTTTACCCCGAAGAAACATGCGTGGCGTTTGGGTCTGTGTCCGTGCATGTCCAGGGTCCAAACGGATCGACGCTGCCCGGACCATGCGACAGCCCTGCGGTAATGCTCGCCGGCCACCCACATGGAATCCTCCTGTTGTTGTTTTCGTCGAAATCCTTGACGACCTCACTCTGTTCGTATCTGCAGCTGGTACGATTCTTCTTGAGCAACGACGTGACGGTGTGCGGCCTGCGGATCGAGAACAGCCCGCAGCTCCACCTCAGGTTCGACGACTGCGAGCGCGTGCGCGTCGACGGCCTCTTCGTCAGCTCGCCGGTGTCCAGCCCCAACACGGACGGCGTCCACGTCGAGAACACCACGTCCGTCCAGATCCTCAACTCTAGGATCTACAACGGTAAGCTCAAACAGTGACTGGACGCACATACTCGAGAATGAATCAACATCAAGTTGAGCTCCACCTGTCACTACAGGCGACGACTGTGTCTCCATCGGCGCCGGATGCTCCGATGTCCACATCGAGAACATAACATGCGGCCACGGCCATGGCATCAGGTACCAACAAAGTGCTTCCATGGCGGTACCGTTCGTAGTGAGCCTGACGCGGCAAGCTGTTGTCATCCTCGCAGCATCGGCAGCGTGGGCGTCCACAACACGCACGCCTGCGTGTCCAACATCACGGTCCGGAACGCGCGGATCCTCGACTCCGACAACGGCCTCCGCATCAAGACGTGGCAGGGCGGCACCGGCGCCGTGTCGGCAGTCGAGTTCGCCGGCGTGCAGATGCAGAACGTGAAGAGCTGCATCGTCATCGACCAGTACTACTGCCTCGGCCACGGGTGCGCCAACCAGACCTCCGCGGTGCGCGTGGCCAGGGTCACGTACCGGGACATCCACGGCACGTACAACCCGCAGGCCGGCGCGCCCATCCGCCTTGCGTGCAGCGACGCCGTAGCCTGCACGGACATCACCATGTCCGGCGTCGAGCTGCTGCCGGCCGGCGGAGACGAGGGAGCGCTGCTCGCGGACCCCTACTGCTGGAACGCGTACGGAGTCATGGAGACGCTCACGCTGCCACCAGTGTACTGCTTGATGGAAGGCAGCCCGGAGTCTCTCCAAGATCCGCTCACGAGTTGCTGAGATGACATTGTTTTCTTCACTAACAAAGCTTTGTCCTGTGACAGTAAATGCTAATACACTCGTACATTCTACTAATGACAAATTACAAATAGGCAAACAATGTGAATTTCTCGAATGGCATGCTCACAGCTACTGAAATTTGAGCTGCAATGAGTTCAAGAGGGTGAAATACGCAGTCGAGTCCTCAAACCTTATTGGATTCCATACTCTTTGTCATCCAAGTAAAAAGACGCCAGCATAAGATACACAATGACGAACAATCTCGGTATATTCTAAGAAAAATGTAAGCTGGACAACACCAACAACCGGAGAGCTGGTCACTGGACGAAAAAGATGCAGAAATCTTTGCCAAAATTTTGCTGGACCACGAACAGGTACAGCTATAATGTGCCTCATTAGACAGAACAAGCATCTTGGCCTCCATCTGTTACATCCTAAAGAAGCTGGCTACAACATCCTGAAAGGAGGGCCTTTAGCACAAATATATACATCGCAAGTCTCATACAGAAGCATGTCATGTTATGCAACTAAACCATAATTCTGCATCCTAACCGATCATAATAATCGCCTATACTTTTCGTGAGGCAAACTAACTTGATTGCCTGTATTGGTATAGATGATCTTGAACAGTAAATCACCTCAGTTGAGAATTTGCCAAACTTGATTGCCTGTATTGGTATAGATGATCTTGAACAGCAAATCACCTCAGTTGAGAATTCGCCAAAATGTGTCATTCAGACTTCACGGATAGCCTCTCTGCAGGTTCGGAATACGAAAGAAGAAAAAAGTTAATGGACCTTCCAGACTGAAAAATATCGGTAATAGATTTACTGAAAAATGTCCTACTTATGAGCTCATATGTCACGATCATTGATGTGCCCCAGAGAGACATGTTAAGAAACCTCGGCCCAAAACCTCTATAAAACCCCCTCCAGCCATCTTCATCAAGCAGCAGCCTGGTAGTTTTCATGACAGAAGGCCTACCCTTACCATAGTTGTCCATAACCTGAAATCACATGCAAATAATGAACACCTGATGATAGAATTCTCACAAGTATCATGCATGATAATAGTTCCTTCTATGACAGTAGTTAGCTACTTAGCTGTGCCAACTTTAAGTTCGGGTACATATCCTATGTAGCAAAGGTGGTACGTTAAACAGCTAACTCAAAGATAATCTGCATACTAAGGTATAACATGATCATCACAGTATTGTAGACATCATTCGCTAGCACAGGCAACAACTAAAATGTTGCAGTGCCAGCCTTGAAATGTCATATTGAAATTGAATAATAGGTGTGATTGTGAAACTGAGGCACCTGACACAGAGGAACAATAAGCTTGAGACCAGAATGTGTCACCCAGGTTAAGAGCTAAAACATGATTTCACAAGCTACCTAGAATAATGGACATTCTGTCCTTCTCCATCAAATATTGAGGAGCTTAAAGTCCAGTTGAAATCCTGTATATTAAAGCTACCCATATTTCACAAAGCAGAAAGTATAGCCTAGGCCCACAAGCCCTTTCAAATTCTAACCTGCACCTTCTGGCTACGACCAACATGTCCATCCTCTGTTGCACAATCATTTATAGTAAAAAGGGGTCGAAAGCAACAATATTACTACTTTCATGGCATGCCAACTTCTAAATTACAGAAGAACCACCGAAGGAAACCCCAGTGAAGTAAGACACTCAGAAAATGGATCAACTTCCTAGTCCAAAAACCTTGTCTGATAAATAAGATAGTAACAAATAGCTGGGATAGCACAAAGGAAAATATGACGAATGCCATAGGAAACTAGAGTCTGCAAAGATACATAACCACACGTTCAGAAAAACAATTAAACTTACCTGAAGCCGAGTCTTGATGGTATCTATTGGAGTTGTGATAATCGATGAGCAAGCACCAGCAATTGTTCCTGCTGTCGCTTGGACAGCAACAAGTTCTGATTGAGATGGTTTTGTGGGAGTCTTTTCCATAACCCAAACTCCTATTTTAGGATAGCAAGAATATTAATCAAGCATGGCACTAATATCTTTGTAGACACAATGAACAATAAATGATAAATAAAAAAATACACACACACCTCCAAATAGCATGTTGAGCACCACCATATGCACTCCACCAAAGGGCTGAAGCTGGCGACTGAGTCAACATAGTGATTCCAAAACCTCGGTAAAGCCCCCGGATCCCTTCTGTTCTGACAACCTTATTTATCACATCAAATGGGCCCCTGTATGTTGCCATCCCTGGCAATCCTTGAACCATGAGCCTTTGGCAAATCTGTCAGTTCAGAAATATGGAAGAGTATCATGTAAATTAGATAACAAAATAAGGATGTCATACAGAAAAATGCTTTTAATTACATTTGTTGTGAAGAACTATAATATTGTGTAATGGAATGGATTTATATGAAGAAATTATTCCTAAAGCAGTCAGCCCTTGCTCTGTACAGAAAGATAGATATATTTATATAGGAACTTCATGGAACAGTACAACAATCACGATGTGACATGTACCTAGCTATACATCATAAAGCGACATAATGCTTAAACTTACAAAGAAATGTAAAGAGAGTATAAAGAGTTGATAGGGTTTCAATTTCCAAGCAATTGCAACATGATAGCTTCACTATAGAAGTATCACCCAAAAAGGAAAATTATCCATCAATGAATGTTTCTGTGTTGATTGCTTCATATGTCATGTATCAGATATTCAGATGTATGCTCTTATGTCCTCCAATGGACCTAACTTACAGAAACGTGGGTGCACAGGTCCTAAACTTATTAAATGGTGCACTAAAGGTCCATTTCTGGACCATACCGACCATGTGGGTGCACCACTTAACAAGTTTAGGAACCCATAAATATGTTTTCAAAGTTCATGAACCTAAGTGGCACCTCTTGAAAAGTTCGGGGGCCGCCCATGCACTTAACTCTATATTCAACAAATTTGTTAACATGATGTTGGTGGTTTGACTAATAGTTGTTAAGCACAAAAGCTGGACTTAAAACAATATGGAGCTAGTGTGAAAGAATGCTCACCACATCTAGAGGCACAAAATATGAGCATGAACAGATACTCGACATCAGGCCTGCAACGCCATTTGCTACAGCAATTCGTGAGGCCTCTGACATATCAAAATGTTCACAATACTTAAACGTCATTTCTTTAGAGATCTCCAGTGATGTTAGAGCTAGCACTCGCCCAGGTAGGGCTCCAACAGCAGAGGTGCCAAATCCTCTGAAAATGCCAGGGATGCCATCGCTTCTCAATATCCTCCTAAAAACAGTAAACCCAGACATATGTGCAAGTCCCCCTTCAGCAACCTGCATCCTAGTCTTCACAACAGCTGTCGGGTGCAGAGCACCTTGCTGGGCCGTAAACAGGATAGCTCCAATCACATGAAACCTCGTCTTGTCCAACCTTCAGCGTGATACAAAAAGAAAGCTACATCAGTTACAGGAATATGTAAATGTAAATTGATATTTTCTTTATAGGTTTGAAGACCATAATTTATGCAAATTGCCATGTTGCCAGCATGAGATTTCCAAAATAGCACGCAACTCTACAGGCCTTTGAATACAGGTGGCATGAAAACCAAAATTACTGTTCATCACATCACTGATGACAAAAAATACAATTGTTCCAAAATGTGATTTTAAAGGAATTTTATGGGCCCTAGAGTGATCTGCAACCATTAGGGGTAGCTGAACTTCTTTCTTCACTTAACATAATTCTCCAAATATTTCTACTTGTACAAACTTTGAAGAACTTTTTGATGCGTAGAAGTTCATGAAATCTTGATGGGTGTAGACCTAGATTCACAAATGAATCTCCCATTCTTTTAAAGGCAAAACTCAGTACTGTGCATCAGCGATTGCCCGTCTAATAGAAATTGACTTGAAAGTTGAAAATTTATATGACACAATGTAGAACAAGCACACAAGATCTCAGAAAAAAAATCCAAGCTATGGCTTGAATTAAGGACTTCAGAAGTACACTTAGAATCTGAAACTGCATTGATGTCTAGCAAAATAATGCGTCGTATATAAAAGCTAAAAATTTGGATTTCCTTACTCAACTCGGTGTCAAATTTCCTTACAAAGATGAACAAACATGTCTACATGTTAATCGCACGAGTTTGAAGCAGATTATAGAAGTATATTAACGACCAGCCTGAACATAGCAGCCGCTGCTGGAATTGGGGAAATACAATCGATCCCTCTCTAACACGTCAAGTTTTGCCAATTAAATTTACAGCTTTCCAGAAGACCCAAGTTCTGTTTTGCGTCCACATCTGCGGCACTGATCTCGTGGCCCTCCGCCGCGCCCCAGGCCACCAGAAGGTTGGGGAAAAGACGCAATGCGCCCGTGAATCACCTTCCTGTAACCCACGCTCCCTGGCTGCCCATTCCTCATCCTTGCCCCGTGCCGAGCACGGGAACAAGCGGCGGGCTGAGAGCCCAACCAAACTAAAAGCACGCTGCCGATCCGGAGACGGACCAAAAGATGCGAGGCCGCAAACGTCCACCCCGCGCGCCAGGATGAAAAGATTCCTCTTTTGATTCTTATAACTCTCTAATGTAACTGAAAAAGGGGACCCTGGCGCGTACCTCTCCCAGTTGATGTTGGCCTCCGCGAGCGCGATCCCGGCCGCGGACGCCTCCGAGGTATCCGCCGCCGCCGCCATGGACTCGCCACAGGCCTACGCACAGGAGGCGCCTCCGCGGGAGGAACAAATAGAGGAGAAGCGGCGGCGCGGCGATTGGTGCTGCTCCTCACTTCCGTGCGTGTTTCCGGTGCGGCTGAAGTGATGTCGGCGCCGCTGCGCGCGAATTTGCGCACGGGGAAAAGAAGGCTGCGGCGGAGGCCTAGGCGGACGGAGCCAGTTTGTTTGGGTGCGCCACCTCGAGGCATTAGTAGGGGTTTAAGGCCGTTCGTTTCGTTGTGGCGTGTCGTAAATAATTATTAATTTTTAATTAAAATAGTATTTTTTTTACGCAAACTAATTTATAGTATTTCTTCACAACTCAGGATAAAATGAACCAGCCAACAGAAGGTGCTTTGGTTCGGGTCGGCGCCCCGCGGAGCGCGCTGCCAAAGTTGCCATTCTTCCGGCCTCGCCTCACTGACCTGCGGGGCCGGGATTGGGCCCGGATCGTAGTGGGACCGGGAGTCGGGCCCTTGAGTGGGTGTTTCTCGCTTTCCTGCTCATACTGCTCTCGGGGAGTCGTGGGGACGAGAGCCTGGGACTGGGAATAGAGGAAAGCTGCACCAGCGAGGCGGAAGGGGTGCACGTGTCATGCGCCTATTGAGCCTTGCTGTCAACCTGGCCACGTGGGTCAAAAAAGGCAGGTGGGCGACCTTCTTTTCGTTTCTGTTGTTTCCGCAACCCCGCGTCGCGTGGCGCGCTGAATCGATGGCGCGTGCCTCCGCATGAACAATCGTTCTTCTAAGCTCCCACTTGATTTCTCGAATTCTCTTGAGTTCGGATCAAAGTCTGTAGCGGATTGACATCTGACGTGGATAGCGGGCGCTATAACGGACGTTGGAGTTCTAATTATATTATCTAAAAATCTCGTATAATTTAGATATAAGTATATCTTAAATAATAACTTTCTTACATATTAACAAAACTATTAAATACAAATTAACAATAGACTAATAAATATATAACTTAAATAGTATAAATAGATATAATTATATTCGAAGAGTTGATTCTCAATCAAATATATCATAAATTAATGATGAACTAGATACGTTCTAGAGTCTGTCCGTGTCACATACCATAAAAAGGGTATCCTAAGTAAGAACCGAAAAAATTGCTTATACCTTATAAATATCGGAGCCAAGAGACAACCACGAGACCTCGGTCGATTCTCCGATTCGCCCGAGACCCACGCCGCAAGCCTCGGACGAGATACCAACTCTCCGCCTCGCCCGAGGCCCCGCTCGAAAGGCCTCGGACGAGGTACCGATTCTTCGTCTCGCTCGAGGCCGGCTTGGCATCAGCCCCACGCAGCTTTGACCGACCTCCCTGACGGAGCGTCACATCCAACTGAAGCGCTCAACCACTCCCTAACGCGTCGATGACGCAAGACCTGCGGCAAAGAGTACCCGACGAGGCGGAAATCGCGATCAGTACCGCCATCCGAGGAGGGGACGGGCGGGGGTTACCGGCCGCTGTGCTCGGCACTGTGCCCACGATTGACACACATGCGGCACTGTGCTACCTAACCCCACCTGCTCCGACAACAGTGCGGCGTGAGAGTCATGTTCGGGCCCCTATAGCCTCAGAATAAGCATAAAAAACAACTGCTCCCTCCGAGCCTCGGCTATTCGCTTCCGGGCTCCTGTAGCCTCGGGACTCGCGCCCGCCGAGCCCCCCACGATGGCCCAGCCTCTGCATCAACTGGGCCTCGGCTATCTACGTCATCAGCACTCTGGGACTGGCACATCGCCCGCAGAACGCGTTATACCCTACGTCAGGCTGCAGGAGCCCCCACGTCGCACACAAGGCCTAGCTCCTGTAGCCTCGGAACCAGCGTACCCGCGCCATCACATCAACCCGGCCTCGGCACTCCACGCCGGTCAAACATACAGTAACCAGCTTGCCTCCAACGGAAGAAGGCGCACCTGCCACCACAGGAGCCCCCACGTCGCACAGAATCGGGCGTGACCGACACGTCACTCCAGTACACCGAGGACAAGACCGCTCCACCGACCATACCGCCATAGTGACAAGCGCAGGACTCGGACATGCCGCCTCCACCCACAAAGTGCCACGCAGCAAACACATGTACCGCCCCTGTGCCTCCCTTCGACTATAAAAGGGGGTAACCGGGGCCGCTCCTAAGGGAGGGCAGACACCCAACACACTCACGGAGACATCACTCAGATAGACACACACGCAAGCAACGAGCAACACTCTGTAATACGCACGCTCCCTCACTGCAAGAGATCAACATCTCAAGCAACCCACGCCGCTCTACTCAGACACCTGGGACTAACTCCCTCTCTCGCCCTACTTGTAAACCCCTACTACGAGCACCTCGGTGCAAGGAATACAAGATCGCTCTCCCAGACTGGACGTAGGGCACCTATTGCCTGAACCAGTATAAACCTTGTGTCTCTTTGCATCACCATCCGGGATAGGGACACGCAGTACATTTTCACTCGTTGGTTGAGGACCCACCGGTCCAAAACACCAACAGTTGGCGCGCCAAGTAGGGGGCATACTGCGTGTTAGCTTAATCATCCCAACAAGTCCCAGATGACAGACCCCGTACGACCTCTGCGTCTCGGCACGGTGATCTAGTTCGGGAGCCTAGAGTTCATGTCTCTAGGATACGAGTACGACCTAGTACTCCTCCCATCCAGAGCCCCGTTGGCCGACGACGTCATCTCGCACCAGCAGCCCAGGCGCAGGCGGCGCCCGGGCCACCGCTCTCGTTGCGCTCGCCAGGCATGACGTGAGCGGAACCACCCCGACACCCTGCGAGCTCAGGGCGACGCACCGCGCTCCGCCGGTATCCCACACCCGGCTGTTGGTACAGAGTCCCTGGTTGGGGACCTGTCCAGCTTAAGCCTGGGCAAAGGAATGACGCCGGTGGCGTGCAGCAACGCCCCATCATCAAGCTCTGCCCCGCCACCTCCTGAGGCATCGACTCCGACGGAGCAGAACCTGGCGATGGCACCATCCCCATACCCCTTTGGGTTGAACAATGCCGCCACCGCCTATGCTTCCGCTCACGCGGAGCCCTCAGGACGCCACCAACGTTTCACCCTTGACCTCTTCGCCACAACCTTGACCCACACCCACGCCGACTCCTTGGAGGAGGACGAGGCGTGGGTCGGAGCGGACTTCTCCGGGCTTCGCGACCCTGAAGCCATGCGCCGCTTCATGGCCGCGAGCGACTACTGCTTCGGCTACTCCGACTCCAATGACGAAGGCACTTACGACCCCACTCGTGAGTGCTTCATCGTCGAGCTCGAGATGCCGAGAGCGGGCGATGAAGACGGAGGGGCAGACAATCGCTCCCCGCCCCGCGAGGGGGCAAGCGACGCCACACCTCCGCGCGTCGAACCCCTGGCAGCGCGGAACGAGAACCCCGCCCACGAGGAACTTCGATGCCTTGACTTGGAGCAGCTCCGTGAGCTTCAGGACAAGGTCGAACAAGACCGACTCCTTCTACAGCAGCTTCGAGACACTCTCGAGCGAGAGCAGCGGGGTCGCGGTGATGGCGGAGCAGCCCGACTGCGAGGGCTCGCGACGTCTACCACCGCATCAACAACGACGAAGGGGGCGAGCAACCCCCTATCTTCAATCGCGCTAGCTAGAACATTGCGGCAGCGGCGATTCTACTCCGAACGATGCCCGAGCCATCTACCTCGGAGGGGCGATGGGTCCTCGGCGAACTCCGAGACCTTCTCGAGACCGCCATGGTACAGCAGGACGAAAGCTCCACGTCTTGACGGCACGGGGACACCTCGAAACGGCCTTCGGCGCCGCCTCGACAAGATAGAGAGGCCTCGGTGCATGACCGCCTCAAGGCCCCCTCGGTGCACGACCGCCTCAGCGACTGACGCGAGGCGCAAGGCGACCACGATGTGGTCAGCAGGCGACGGCACCACGACAATGATGGGCCTGTCCGAGGTTACCACCCGCACCGAGGTGGCCGCTACGACAGTGGGGAGGACCACAGTCCTTCTCTTGGGCTGCCTGGCCCTCGAGTCTTCAGCAAGACCATCCGCGGTGCTCACTTCCCTGCCCGGTTTCGGCAACCAGCCAACCTCGCAAAGTACAACGGCGAGACCAACCCCGAGCTGTGGCTGGCCGATTACCGCCTGGCTTGTTAGCTAGGCGGCGTGAACGATGACCTGTTCATCATCCGCAACCTCCCCTTGTTCCTGTAAGACTCGGCACGAGCCTGGCTCGAACACCTCACTCCCTTGCAGATCCACAACTGGCGCGACTTGGTAAAGGTCTTCGTCAGGAATTTCCAGGGCACATACGTGCACCTCGGGAACTCCTGGGACCTCAAGAGTTGTCGCCAGAAGCCGAACGAGTCTCTCCAAGACTTCATCCGACGCTTCTCCAAGCAATGCACCGAGTTGCCCCGCGTCGGCGACTCAAAAATTGTCCAAGCATTCCTCTCTGGCACCTCCTGCCGAGACCTGGTCCGAGAGTTAGGTCAGAACATACTGACCTCGACAGCCACGCTCCTCGACATCGCCACCAACTTCGCCTCGGGCGAAGAGGCTGTCGGGGCCATCTTCCCCGACAACGACGCCAAGGGGAAGTGGAGGGACGAGGCCCCTAGGGCCTCGGCCTCCCGTTTCTCCAAGAAAAAGAAAAAGGGGCGCCAGGGAAAGCAAGAGGCCCTCGAGGCCGATCTCATCGCAGCCTAGGACAAACGACCAAGTAGAACGTGCCAACGGCATGATCCTACAGGGCCTCAAGCCAAGAATATACAACCGGTTGAAGAAATTTGGCAAGAAATGGCTTGCCGAACTCCCGTCAGTCATCTAGAGCCTGAGGAACACTCCGAGCCAAGCCATGGGGTTCACACCGTTCTTCCTGGTCTATGGAGCCGAGGCCATCCTCCCCACTGACTTAGAGTATGGTTCCCCAAGGCTACAGGCCTACAATGAGCAAAGCAACCGCACTGCCCGTGAGGACGCCCTCGA